ACTCAGCATCAACTACTTGTATCTACTACTCCCTACTAATGCAGAAAAGGCCTCAGGTTCCAAGAATGTCCTGTACTCTGGACTGAGTGTAGGAGAGCACAATTCACAACTGACAAAAACAAAACATTCTTTGCATCACACACTTCATGTATTTCTATTCCAAACCCCTGCTGAAGACTAGGGTAGGCCAAAAGAAAGGTGTGAGACAGCTTTTGCTTGAAGGAAAAGGCAGTGTAGGTACTACCTATACCATCCACTCTCACCTCCTGCTGAAGGTGGGAGATCCCTGCTGGTCTGAAACAAAGCCCAGCCTGTCCTGATAGACCCACTACGTCTAAGTCAAGAGACAGAAGGCAGGACCTGTCTCTTCTGCACGCTCTTTCTGCAATATTTGATCAAGTACAGTACAAAGGGATCAAGCACATTAGGCCCATCACTGTGCTAGAGCTACTCAGTCCTCCCCAGATCCACAGGACAGACAGCAAACACAGTGCAGACACACTGCAGTGACCTTGCAGTGGAACCTGTACTCAACAGCTGACTGTCTCTACAGGGTTTCCTCTACAACTCATTTTCTTTCCAGTGCTGTTCCCATCCTGAACTGGTCTCTATATATCAGGGCACTGGGTAAGATATGAACGATATATGCTGCAGATCTTCCTAATGTACAACAAATAACACTCTCCAACACTTAAAAAGAGAGCATTGCTCTCTCAGCACTTTTAAATTCTTAGTTTCTTTAAAAATTGAGCTTCAGAAATTTTCTGCATTTTATTTTCTATAGATGTTCCTCAATTTCTATTACCTTCCCCCATCCATATCCTTAAATTTCTTCACAAGTTATAAAAGCCCACAAATGCCAGTGTGACCCTGCTGTACAGAACTGTGACCAACGCAGGATGCTGCTCAAAAATGTTGGGAGAGCCAGTTAGTTACCAAAACCCAAGGCAGTAGGTGCTACCATCTGTAATCACTTCCCTAGTGTCAGAATGAACTGCTTTCTCCTCAGTCACAAGATCATACAAACCTGAGGGAAGACTGGCATACTTCCCTGCTCTGGAATAGGTGAAACCTAGAACCTTTTCTATACTGACACTGCAGGCACTACCATCCACAGAAGTAAAAGCAAAAATTACAGTGGAGATTGCAGTGGGTGGGGAAATTTAATGGACACAGAATCACCTACATCCCACATAACAAGGGACTGTAGCAAGAGGCTAGCTAGGTTCAGAGAAAACTGTATCTTAAAATAATAATAATACGCACTCACAAGACAATCCGTTTTGGAAAGTGGGTGAAGGTCTGTCAGTTGGAAATGGAAGAAGAAAATGGGTATCCAAATTAGGACATCACAAAAATGAAATTTATAACAGTATTAATATGATACATGCTGTACTATATGCTGTCAGTTGTGCAGATCCACATTCTGTGTATGTCTCGATTCCACAATCAGTATAAATATGTCTTGATTCCAGTGGGTCCCCTAGTTGAATTGTATGACAATTTGACAGTGACTTGCCATGACATGCTCCCAGCTACTCACAGTTTCCTCCTGCACAGTTTGACGTGCAAATGTAATAAAAATACTTTATTGTTCTTCATCCAAATGCCTCAAAGATTTATAGTAGTTTTGAACTTTGACAGGTGGATCCCCTGCATCTGGCAGGGTAACATTTCAGACTATTCCAAGAACAGTTGTCAACCTGCTTTGCACCAACATAGCTAATTCATAATCCATGTTCTTAAATTTTGCACACCAAAAGGTCTAAACACTGCAGTATTATCCACTCAGAAAAAAAATTTGATAAGAACCTATCTTAAATGAATTAATTTCACATCAGTTTTCACTGATCTTAAGATATTCACAGGATATTTCCTATCTGTTTTCTGAATTTATTGAAACCCATTCCCCTGATGCTGTTCTCATTCTAGTTATTTTCATCCCTCTTTAATGACTGTTACAACTCACATCCCATGGTCAAGAATATCTAACAGTGAGTTCCATTAATTATTATAACACAGAACAAAATCAACAGAATCAAAAGCAAAGTTTGAACACTTTCAGAAAAAAAAACCAATACCACCATCAATTTTTTCTTAGCGAGTGGAAGTTTTGCTTACTCTTTTCGGAGTTCTTTCATTCTGCTGATGCTGAGGGGTTAAGGTTTTTTTAGATCCTCTAAAGCCAGAGCTAGAGTACAGTGACAAACATACAGAAAATAAGCAGAATTTTCACAAGTAGTATTTTCACACATAATCACCGTAGTATTTCCCATATGCATTCTCCTGTTCTCTAGTTACACCAAAAAAAACCCCAAAAAACCAATAAGGGAGAATTAACCAACTGTCAATGAACACATTTATGGAAGATGTGCTGAAATTTTTGAGTATCTGGAATTTCAATTTGTAAAGCTAAATTACAGAAACTTTTCCCTTAGTTTGATTCCAAAGTTGGGAGAGGAGCATGGGAAGAGTGAATCAAACATTAGCTCTTTGCCAGATTTCTTATTCTGCTTTTTAATATTGTTTTTAATATACAGTTTTCCCCAGATAATATGCACTTGACTGGGTCAGATTGAAGGAATTAAAAATCTTAATAGCAAATTATTAGAGAAATAAAGGTAAGTATGGTTAGGCATTATTAGAGACTCTGTAAAAGTTCTAGCTCTTCACTATGTTTCAAGACATCTTGCATACCTTTTGCTATCTAAGAGCTCATCCTCTTCATTCCCACTTCTGTGCCAGTTCTAGCTTGCAATTTATTCTTCATCAAGTCATTTTATGCTATGGTTTTAATTTAGTCTTCTACAGGAAGTAGAAAACTATTTGCTATGTCAAATAAATGACCATGAAAAGTTAGCGGCAGTGAGAAACAAAATAGAGGAAAGAGAAGAGCTGTCCTTTTTGGTGACAGTAAAACATTGTGCCAGTGTGAGCTGGTGGTGCAGAACTTTCTATGTATCAAGTGAAAGAAAGTTGAACAAACAGAAGAATGAGAGAGAAACATCTAATAACAGAAGCGTACTGAAAATTCAGCAGATCTGCATTATGTCATCTGTATCACTAAAACAGATTTAATGTGCAAGAACCTTAAGATTCATATAAGTGCTACTCTCACTGACTTCAGTCAGAGGTGCAACTGCAGAGCATTTCAGAGCCATCCCCTCCTGCTCAAAGGAAAATCAAAGCAACTTCAGCTCTGGAGTGTAACACTCAGCTTAGATGAGGTCTTAGATACAATTATTTCAATTCATTACTAACCTTAAAAGCCTCTTATACTGTGCTCCTGCAGAGTTCAGTAGCTATGTCCCACCTGCCCTGTCCTCCTATGGCACCACAACTACCATTCCAAACACAGAGATAAACCCTAAAGTTGCAGCATTGGGGTTTCACTGTGAAAGGCATGCCATCATAAATTCAAATATTGAGAAAAAGACTAACAGTAGTTCTGATAAAAGAAGTCATTTTTACTGTTAATAAGGACTGGCACTGCATTAATCACGCAGAAGAAACGTGACTGTAGTTTTTACTGCTTCCTGTATGCTAAAAGACAAAGAATTTTGTACACTCCTCAAAGTCACCATGAACTCCAGCAGTGACAAGATCAAAATCTGAAAGCAAGATGAAGAAAACCTGGAAGCACTACAGTACCACATTAAACCTGAGGAAAAACACACTGCTGACAAAACAGTGTTCACAATATCTTCCCAGACACTTGTTTGAGTAGACTTAAAGTCACTGCCAGTTGTTCATGAAGTTGCACAGCAAAATAGGTCAGGGGAACTGCTCTGAAGGAAAATAACTCCAGCAGACATTAAGTTTCTGAAGGGAAGGTGTGCACCTGTTCCCTTTCTCCCTTTATGGAAGGGTACCAACTTAAGTGACTGCACTATCTCAGACTTTCTGCTTCTCCTTGTACTCTGAAAAATACCATGTAAAAAGCCTCCACAGTCTCAGAACACTCTAGCTGATGGAAAAGATATGGAGTACTGCAAGTAGATAAACAAGCCTATGCAGGGAGAGAAAAGAAGATTGTAAAACATTATAGCACGTGCATCTGGACAACTTCAGGAAACCTGCCTTCCATAAATTGCACTTGTACATAGTGCAGAACACACAGGGCGTCCGTAGAGACCGATGTGATGTGTAAGTGCATCTGGACTCCTGGAACACAGGCAGAAACCTAGAAAAGTATTTTTCTGCACAAGTGGGATGAACGTACATTTAAAAAATTATTTCACAGAATCGCAGAATCAATTAGGTTAGAAAAGACCTCTGAGATCATGGAGTCCAACTTACAAGTGAACACACCACCACCACTAAGTCCCATATCCAGTCTTTCCTTAAACACCTTCAGGGATGGTGACTCCACCACCTCCCTGGGCAGCCCATTCCTATCTCTAATCACCCTTTAAGTGAAGAAATTCTTCTCAATGTCCAACCTGAACCTCCCCTGGAGCAGCTTAAGGCTATTTCCTCTCGTCCTGCCGCTGGTTGCCTGCGAGAAGAGACCGATGCCCATCTGGCTACAGCCTCTTTTCAAGTAGTTGTAAAGATCGGTAAGTCTCCCCGATCCTCCTCTTCTCCAGGCTAAACAACCCCCAGCTCCCTCAGCCGGTCCTCATAGGACTTGTGCTCCAGTCTCTTCACCAGCCTCACTGCCCTTCTTTGGACCCTATCCTTCAAAGCACATGCAAAAGCGCTCCTAATTACCACAAACCATTGCTGCCTACCTCCCCCCTACAGAGCGGTGGCTGTGCTCTAAAACCCTCAGACGATCGGCTCTAGGGGTTTTTCTGGCATTAGGGCACCAGCCTGTGAAACCGCTCGTGTTTCCCGAAGCACGGGACGGGCCCGTCCTTCCCTCACTTCCTTTCCCTTCCCTTCATTCAGCACCCGCTATTTTGTTTCCGTCAACCGCCGCGAAGCCGCCGCGCACAGCGCTGAGCAGGACACGGACCGCGGGACGCGGCCCCCCCGCGCCTGCCGCCGTTGTTTACCTGCGCGGGTCTCGTGCTTGGGCACCCGGTAATATTTGTTGCCGAACTGGTCGGTGCCCACCAGCTCCTTGGCGGGGCCCAAGAGCCGGAGCCGCAAGGCGCGGAGCGCCCGCCAGGCGAGGCTCATCTCAGGATACCTCTGGCCGAGGCTGCGGCGTCGGACACACACTCAGGGACACACAGCCCTCATCTATCCCGTCCCTGTCGAGCGCTTCCACCCCCAACCCTACCCCGCTCCCGCCTATGAGCAGCGGGCGCTCCACCAACGCCGCTCGCCATTGGCGCAGGCCGGCCCAAGACGGCTGCGCGGCGGGGCGTGGGGCGGTGCTCCCGCCATGTTGGGGCTGCTGTCCGCTCGCCAGCTTGGGTTGGACGATCCCGCGCGGCTGCGCCGGGCCGAGCGCACCCGCAGGTACCGCGGCGGGGCGGGGCGGGAGGCGCTACGCGGGGGGCACCGGAGCGGCAGCGACTGGCTCCGCCCTGCCGGGGAGCCTTGACCGGCCCGAGTAGGGGTTGCGCGGGGAGCCGGGGTGGAGGAGCCGCGAGCCGCCTCGGCGGCGGCTCCGGCAGCGGCTCCCCGCGCCCCGCCGGCCGCGTTTCGGAGCGTCCGTGGGTTTGCGGTGTCGTGCGTGTGTCTCAGCCATGGCATGAGAGCACTGCGGTGCCCAGCGTCTCATCCCCGCACCGCGGTGTCGCCTCCTGGGCAGTTCCACCGGGGGCTCGATCCGCTCGCGGCTGTGGAGAGACGAGGTGTATGTAGTGCTCTGCGCCCGCATCGGGTCGTCTGCCCTCTTCCCAAACCCGGCCTGTTGGTTGATTGCAGGAGATTCAGATGCACGGCTTTTATTGGGTTCCCAGCAGCTTCTGTGGGAAGTGGTGGCTGCGTAGACAGGCTTATTAATATTCATGGATTATAAGGTGATAATATTTCTTCAACGTCAGAATGAGAATCAGTTTTGCAGCTGTGTTTCAAGGCAAATCCAGTAAAGCCTGCGTCAGTTCAGTCGCTCACGGGACTTCATTGTAAGGATTTGTGCTTGTGACTTATGGTTTTGGGGGCTGTATCATTGTAAAAAGAATGTTTTAAATTGAAATGAATTTTCGTGATTCGGGAAACTCCTTTCAGCGAGCATTGTGACAATATGGTTACATCCTTTTTGTGCCCCCAGTGCTTATGTAGCATTCAGTGTTAAGAATGTTTGACATAAAAAACAGCTGTAGTCTTCAGTGGATTTTATTTATAGCTGCATTTTAAAGTAATATGTTTTAAAATAGTTCCGCAGGGGCATTTCTTGCTTCACTAAAATTCAATCTGGAGCTCAAAGGTTTTAAACTAGGTATCTTGTATATGTCAAAATTCTTATTCTAAGTGAATTCTTCCATAATTATATTTCACGTCTGTTAAAAGACCTTAAATAACTTGCTGCTTTGGGGACCTGCCTGTAACAGTCTAAGGTTCTCACATCAGGATTTTTGCCAGTTGATCTTAAGTAGGATCACTCTGCCTCACAGCTTTTCAGTTACCTACTTAATTACTTTGTTCTTGTTCGTGCTTTTGACAAAATGGTGCCGTACAAAGCTCTGATCATCTTGTAAGGCTAAATTTTATATCAGGTAGTATGGTTTAAGGAAGCAGAATCTCTTATTTTGACCATGTAACATATTAGCATATTTAAAAATACAAGTTACTAATTGCAATTCAGAAGAGTTTGTCTTGGAAGCTTCATCATGTGGGTAGCCTAGTTTTTATTTATTTTGTTTCAGAAAATGTAACACACAAACTTTGGTTCATTAAAGGAAAACTTGATAAACTTGATAAACCAGATGAGTTTGTCTGCTAGGTGTCTGTAGTTCCAAGTAGGATGAAGCTTGAAAGAATGTTACATAATGAAACTTCAAAGTAACTAATATTTGTTGTGAATAGAAGGCATCTGAATGCTTCTGTTGCCCAAAGTTTTCAAACTGCATCTGGTTTTGTTTCCTATGTTGACCCCAAATGCAGTTTTGCTATTTTACGTATTTATTTCTCTCTTACCTTCCAAACATACAAGTATTTTTTTTTCTGCCAACTTCACAAGACTTATTTCCATCCCTATGTCATGTAGTTTTGCAAAAATGTTACAAGGATGGGTTAGATAAATTGAAAAGGGCAAAACTACAGTTTTAGCTGTTCAGAGCTGCATAGTAACATTCAATAATTCTGTTCTTGTTGTTCATATCTCTGGTTTTTTTTTTTATTATTTTTTGTTTTTGTTGGTTTTAGGGTTCTAAGTCTGGAATTAAATAAAGACAGAGATGTGGAAAGAATACATGAGAGTGGTATCAACACACTTGATATTGAGCCTGTTGAGGGAAGATAGTAAGTATATACTTTAGTTGGTAAAAACGTATATGAGTACTTCATTGTGTTTTGGTACTATGGATTTATTTTCTTGTTGAACACTCGGTTATACTGAGCATATTGAGATCATGAATTTTGTAACTTTGTGCTTTATTAACACTTTTCAGCATGTTATCTGGTGAATCAGATGGTGTTATTGTACTTTATGACCTTGAAAACTTGACCAGAAAACCAAGTTACACCTGTAAAGCACTTTTCTCTGTGGGAAAGTAAGTATTCCAAAATTATATTAAAAGTTCATACTATAGCTCTTGTGTGGCTAGGATTGAACTTGCAAATTAATGTGTGTTCTTATTTCTAGGATAGAAAGAATGTAGAAAATAGTACCAGAAGTCTTTGAAGGCTAGTGTGATGACTTATGTTTTTTGAAATGCAAAAAAAAAAGCAAGAAAGTTTGTGGGGATTTATGTGATTTACTAAGTAGCAGAAGCTAATTGTTTCTTCTTGATTTGTCTACTCTAATAGTTACAATATATGTACAATGACTCTGCGGTATTGTTTGAGCAGATCTAGAGCAGTTCAAAAGTTAAAAGGGAGAATATAAATTTTACTTATATGGGAACTAAAGTAAGAGAGTCATGTTGCTGTAGACTGCACAAAAAGAAGTCGGAGCTAGTACTCTAATCACATTTTAACACTAGAAAAAGATAGGTGAGGAAAAAACCAACCAAACTCTCTTCTAGCTCACAGTTCCTTACCTCTGAGTTCTGTTATTGTTTCATGTCAAAATTTGGTGACTGTGCAAGTTTTGAGCTGGCTTGCTGCCAAATCTCCAAAACTCAACAACAGAGCCTGCTTCCCAGAGAGGGAAGAAGAAAACCAAACAGCCAAAGCTATAGCAAAAGATATATATTTTTCGTATAAAACAGATATATACAGTGAGAATACTATATACATATAACCCCAGAAACCCCAAATAGCTTCCTAAAAGGGAAGAGGGAAGGGAGAAGGGAAAAAGGACAAACAAAAAGGGACAGAAACAAAACAGGTATGCAAAATCTAAAAACTCAGTAACCAGCAAAATAAAGAACTGGCACAATCTCACCACTTCCCTTGAGAAAAGCAGGACAGCCAGACCGTGGCCCAGCACTCTCCCCTCCTGCAGCGGCAGACAACAGCAGTCACTGTAGGCCTCAACTTCAGATAAGCAAGACCACGTAGGGATCTACTGTTCTTGAACCTCACCGGAAAAGAAGAGAGTGAGGTCCCTCTGGTCACCTTTATTTATACCTCAGCTTACGTAAAGGAATAGCATGGAATACTTCCTTGGGCACTCCCCTAGTTCCCTCCTGGTTACAAGCTGGTCTCCAGGAAGGCCTAGAGTAAAAACTATCACAGTGACTCTATGCCAGTAACTATGAGAAAAAGGTTTTGATACTGTTTTAGAAATATTCCTTTTATCCCCCAAATATATATAATATATATATTTGAATAAATATGCTTTTAAGCAGAAGGAAGATTATCTGCATAACCCTGTTCATCTGATTGGAAAAAAGATCTAACACCTATTTGCAATTATTGATTTTATTTCCTCTCTCCCTGGTTGCAGCTATTTTAAGTTCATCTGGTTGTTCACCAGGCACAGCAGTAATTTATATAGAACTTCTTAAGAGCATGTTCAAACAAAGACAGATGTGTTATTAAAAAAATGGGGCATATTTTTCTAAAGAACAGGGTACTGCCATGCTGTGTGTAATCTTTATAAAGAGTCAAAGCCTTTATTGATTTGTCAGACTTTCTCTGCAGGCAGTATAAATTTTTCCATTATGGCCATAAAGTCTTTTAGCAAAATCTGGTTTTTCCCTGTATTTGGATTTTAGGATTATCTAGTAAGTTGGAACTTCGAGACAGTAAGATATATCCTACTGTGTTAAAGATTAGTAGCTATATTTTCCCCTTATTTTTTCCCAGTCTAGAAATTAATTGAGGTCTAAGAGCTTCATGAGCCAAATATACAAGAGCAGAACAGATTTGTTACAATAAAATTCTGTAATGGTATTTTGGACCATAAGAAGGAAAAAGGCTAATAGAACATGCATCAAAACAGATGAGTTGGGACAGAATCTACTGCAAGTCAGCTGCATGTGTTTGTGGCTGGGACTTCTTGCACAAAATTATTTTAAATTGTAATTAAGAACATGTAGTGACTATACATCCCCAACTCTCAAAACTGAAACGATTTCTGAAACAGATGCAGCAAACCGAAGAAATTCATTCTAAGAGGACACAACATAAAAGCTGTCATAGAATCATAGAATTATAGAATCAGCCGGGTTGGAAGGGACCTCCGAGATCATCAAGTCCACCTCTGAGGTTACTAGGCCATGGCACTAAGTGCCACATCCAGTCTCTTTTTAAAAACCTCCGGGGATGGAGAATCCACTACTTCCCTGGGCAGCCCATTCCAATGTCTGACCACCCTCTCTGTAAAGAAATTCTTTCTAATATCTAACCTAAACCTCCCCTGGCACAACTTGAGACCATGCCCTCTTGTCTTACTGATAGTTGCCTATCAGCAACTTGGAAAAGAGGCCAACTCCCACCTGGCTACAACCTCCTTTCAGGGAGTTGTACAGAGTGATGAGGTCTCCCCTGAGCCTTCTCTTCTCCAGGCTGAACAGCCCCAACTCCCTCAGCCTCTCCTCATAGGACTTGTGCTCGAGTCCCTTCACCAGCCTAGTTGCTCTCCTCTGGACCTGCTCCAGCACCTCAATATCCTTCCTGAACTGAGGGGCCCAGAACTGGACACAGTACTCAAGGTGTGGCCTCACCAGCGCTGAGTACAGGGCAAGAATCACTTCCTTGGA